TTCCAACAAGGCTGCAATGGATATCCTCCAATTGTACTTATACCCAGGGATGGAATTACTGTGTCAAAGGGTATGCGCATTTAACATCTTGCTAGATGTTGTCAAATTGCCCTCTGAAATTGTGCCAATTTGCATTCCCATCCCTATCCTGTGATTTGACTTACTCCCCTTTCCTCTCATTTACTGAGTATTATCAAACTTTTTCATCTTTGCCAACCTGATAGGGTTTTAGAAATTGCATCTCCTTGTAGCTTGTCTTTCTTTAATTATTGTGAGGCTGAGTACTTTTTTTTACATATTTGTTTATTTACTTTATAGTACTTTTTCTTCCAGCTCGTTAACTCGTGTGCTTTAATTTTCTATTTGATTTAAGCAAACTCCCTATGTCATTTGAAGCTAGTATCTTGAAGGAGAATTAGGCAAAAGAAAAAGATACCAGGATGCTTTTCCAGCCAGTGTTTCCGTATCATCATGACTTCCACGATGGCTCTCAACGTCCTTTTAAGAAAGAAAACAAGAACAAAAAGCAAAGCAAAATGGAAAACAATAGACTGGAAAGAGGTACTAATTTTCTCTGGTTGATTGAAGGGCTTTTGTTTGTTTGTTTATTCCTTTCGACTAAATAGAAATCATTCCCTTTATTTCAGCTTATATCCATTTTTCCAGGATGGAAACCAACCCACCAAGAACTGGATCTTTTTATTCTGCAATTTAAACCAACTAATAAATAAATGTTCTGTTATGTCTCACACAATGTAAGTGGTAGGAGACAACAAACTGGTAACAACTTGTGTGTGTCTTGGTAAGTTTTTTTTTTGTACTTTTTATAAGGTGCAAAACACAATTTTATGAGTTACTTTACTAAAAACAGGTTGACTCATATTGTCCTAAAGTCTTGATTTTCAGGGGCACCTGGGTAGCTCAGTCAGTTAAGTGTCTGACTTCGGCTCAGGTTATGATCTCACAGTTCGTGAGTTCGAGCCCCGTGTCGGGCTCTGTGCTGACCGCTCAGAGCCTGGAGCCTGCTTTGGATTCTGTGTCTCCTTCTCTCTCTGCCCCTCCCCCACTTGCGCACGCTCTCTCTCTCAAAACTGAATAAATGTTAAAAAAAAAATAAGAAAAAAAGAGATAGTCTTGATTTTCAAGTGACATTCACATTTTGCAAAGAATGCTTGTGTAAACTTTTCAGAAACTGATTTCTCCAAAAAGGAGAGATGCCTCCCCCACCGACCTGGCCACCAAAATGTGGCCCTGCCTTTCTTCAAATCTCCTTTTCTTCCAAAACCGACCTCTTGAAAGCTTCCCAGATGGGCTCCTTGTTTTTCAACTGCATAACCTCTTCCCTCCCCTCTCCCGTTTCTCATACCAGGTAATAGTCAGTATCTGATTATACATATACTGGCTGACTCCACGAATTTGTGTATGTCCACATGCATCTTTCCTCCCCTGGTAAAAGTTGTAGAGCTCCTCTTGATTAGGTGTTCTACTAGTTATAAATATCTGCATCACACAATACATCCAAGCTCAGCAGCATAAAAGCAACAATAAGCACTCATTATCTCGCACAGCTTCTGTGGGTCAGAGACCCAGGAGCTGCTCAGCTGGGCTGCAGGCATCCAGATAAAGGCTTACTGGACCCAGAGGATCTGCTTCCAGGATAGAGCACTCCCACGGCTGGCAAACTGTGGCCAGATAGTGTCTAATCACGTGGACTCGTTTGCAGAGCTGCTAGAAAGTCTTCATGCTGCTCGCTCTCCCCCAGAGCCAGCAACCCAAGGGGCAAGGCAAAAACCACAGTGTCTTTTGTGATCTAGCCTCTGAAGAAGTCCCACACTCATTTCCCAGATTTCCTATTTGTTACTGTAGGGGTGGAAAATGTTTCCCTTCTTCCCTTCTAGGTTCTTGGGCTGGTCTGATAATTGATATAAGATGGATTAACAGAAGAAAAACAAATTTCAAACAAACGGGAGTCCCATAAAAATATGAGACCCAAAAGGTCAGCCAGGTGTTTGGAGCTTATAGAACATCCAGAGCTAAGTAAGGGAAGGGGTCGGAGTCTGGAGATACCAAGCGGAGGACGGCCATTCACAGGAAGGCACAGGAGAAGTTTGGAAAACAAAGCTGTCCTTTTATGTAGATAAGTTTCTTGGGTAAGAAGGTGTCTCTCGTAACAGCTGTCTCCCTGAAACAGGCCCCCTTTCCAGTATAAATTTAGGCAGTTGAAGCGGGGGGGGAGGTAAAGAGGTTTTCCTGAATCTGCTGAGTTTTGGTTGCCTTTAGCTCAAAATAATCCTTTTGCCAAAGACACATATTTTAGGATGGCAAAATTTGCTCCCCTTCATTACATAGATCAACCCTCCCCAAGGGCATGAATACGAGGGCGCAGGAATCATTTGTGGCCATCCTGGAGGCTGGCTACCATTGGGATCCAGCCTTTTATTCATTCTTTATGTTATGCCTGCTACATCACAGATCTTGGCAGAGATATAATCACTTAAAAGAACTCAATGCTGTAGGAATACCATAATGAACAGGAAACTGGTTCCTTTAATTAAAACTGATGACACATGCGTAAAAGGACAAGTCTTAGATCAGCCAACCTGGGAAACATCTCCAAGGCAGAGATGTGCCCGTAGGAGGTTGACTGTGGACAGCCCTCTGGACCAAGATCTGTGGAGAGTGGAGGCTGACTGGGGTCAGGGAGCATCAAGGACCTCAGCAAAATATCCCAGGCAGCTCTACGGCTGGGATGGCCCCTCAGAGTATTTACACCACGGAAATTGGCATATGCTATGAGTCAGGGCTTTTAATCCCTGATTTGATCCTTCAGCTGGTCATTGATCATTTACCAGCACACAAGTGACCTATTGCATCCCATTCTCTGAGATCCAGAATGTATTATTTTTAGCATTTTAAGATCTCTAAGAAGTCCAACAATAAGGAAATGTGTTTAATTTTGTGAATAAGCATCCCCCAAAGATATGATGTGGATATAAATCTTAGTCCACAGACTCAAGTGTATCAGAAGCTATGTAATTTCCGGAAATTGCCTCACCAGCCTCCCACCCCCCGGGGTTGTGCCCCAGCTCCAGGGGCCAGGAGGGTGCTGACTCACTGATCCATCCAGGCACCACTCAGATGCCCCAAATCCCAGCCCGGGTCCAAGGTCTGGGCTGGCCCTCCTGTGATACTCAGGGTATGGGAAGCCTTGTCCTTGGGAGGGACACACTCTCTCACAGCTCCCCTGTCCACAGAACTTCCTGTTGCCTCTCAGTCCTGTTGCACCCATTGTGCCCGGTTCTGGAAAGCTTCTGAGTGCAAACTCTGGTCTAGGTGACTTTGCTGACCTTTGCTACCTCCCTGGGCTCTGCCCAGCCACCTCCCTGAACTCTGCTGAACACACACGGACACGAGCCCCCTCCTTTCCCTCCCCTACTCTTCCAGATTCCCCCTTCCCGTGATGCCTCCTCCTCCTTTCCCCTCCTACTCCTCACCCCTCCTCACCGTCCTCTTTTCCTTCCCCCTCCTCTCTCTCCTGCTCTCCTCCCTCCGGCTCAAGAACTTTCCAGGCTGGGGTAAATCCCACTCTATTCATCCAGACTTTGCCGGAGAATCAGCTGAATTCTCCTCAGGATTTAGGTTTTGAATAACAAAAGCCAGAAAGCCCCGGTTGTTTTGTTTTCGATTCTAACAGAAGCCTCCCCTAGGGCAGCGAGCACCGGACCCCCTTTCAGCTTAGATGGGGAAGGAGAGTATGTAACTGGAAGAGACGGAGTAGAGGAGCTCGTATCTAAAACTACCTTTCCCTCCGTCACACCTGTTGTCACTTCGGAAGAGTTTTGTGGGGCACAGTGCAGGGAAACTCTGCAGGTGCCATCCCACGTGGCCTACAGAGAACACGCCGGGGGCTGAGGAGGTGCCGCAGCAAGGCTCGGGGCCCCCAGTGCGCGACTGACAGCGGGGGAGCGCTTTCCTCCGCACAGCGGCCGCCCTTCTGGAGTGGGCGCAGAAGGGGAGGGCGGAACGGACGGAATCCCGGTTGACCCCAAGTTACCGGAGTCCCAGGGACAGCTGAGGGCGAGCGGGGTGGGGGTGGGGGTGGGGGCCGGGGTGGGGAGGCTGCTGTTCTTTGCGGCTTCTTGAAAACCTCGGAAGAGTGTATCTTCACGGTTGCCCTTGTGTTTCCACAGGCACTGATTTCTGGCACGTTTGAAAAGGATCCTGACTCCCACTGTGATAGTATAGGGTTCTGAAAGCATCTTAAAATCCTTGGGAAAATTAATATATTGATCGAGAAATGACAAAATGTGAAAACTCCACCAGACTAAAAGAAATTCAAACCCGGTTAAATGGGCATGATTTAATAGCAGGCTATTTCTAAATTGTTTATTTCACACAGCGTTTATATTGGTGGCAACTATGATAACAAATCCCAGGGCCTTGATAAGATCAACAAATTACCAAGTGCTAATTGTTTCTGGCAGGTGTAAGTGAGGAGATAAATAGCATATAAATTAAACTGCTGTGTGTGAGGGTGCCATTCCGGGACTCACGACTTTTCTGCACTCTGCAGCTAAGTAATTCCTCTTATCCCATAATTAGACACTTGTACCTTTAAAAACTGCACTCATTAATGCATATATTACCCTTCCACTGCCAGAGTTAGAAGAAAACAGATAAGGGGCAGTAGTCTAAGAAATTGAATATCAATGACTTTGCATCCCTTTGTCACCTTTGAAATGCAGGCCATCTGTCTTGGGTCACGTTTGGTCATCTACATAGTTGTTCCATGTGCTCAAGGGTGGCTGTCATCACAGCTGGGCCTGCGTGGCCTGGCCCCTTTCAAGATCTTGCCTCAGATATGCTTTTTTTTTTTTTTTTTAAGTTTATTTGTTTATTTTGAGAGAGAGAGAGAGACAGCACGAGTGGGGGCGGGGCAGAGAGCCAGGGAGAGAGGAAGAATCCCAAGCAGGCTCCGTGCTGTCAGCACAGAGCCTAAGTGGGGCTCAAACCCATGAACCACGAGATCATGACCTGAGCCGAAACCAAGAGTTGGACACTCAACCGACCGAGCCACGCAGGCGCCCCTCTCAGATTCACTTCTCAGTGTTGTTATGCCACCACATTTATTCAATGACAGCCGAAGTGTCTTAACTTTATCATAAATGCCAGTTGTCCCCTTCCCGGCTTCCTATCTCAAGTGAGAATCATAAGGGTCGAATGTTACTACCACACTATTTTACTAGAAATGCAGACATACAGCGCAATGCAATGTGACAGGTTGTTTTCTTTCCTTTTTTCTTCAGCCTCTGTACATCTGCTTAAGAGTGTTATCTGGATAATGTTATTTTTCATTCTGCTTTAGTCATGGTATGTCAAATGCGTTTGAAATTCTAAGGACAAAAATGCAGCCATTCGTTGTTAATTTCATCCATGTATCCGTCCATCTGCTCATCCATTTATCCATCCATACGTTTACTTCATCATTTTTTCTTTGCATTTCTTTACAAAACTCTTTTGGTTCAGATCCTGTGCAGGGTGCTAAATAAAAGACACATTTTTTTCTGCTGAGCTCAGAGGGAGAGGCCAGAGTTGTAAATACTGATTACAGCATAAAGCTGTGGGGAGGCCCCACCCAGCGTGGGCTTGGGCAGGAAGATTCCAGTGAGGAGATGAGAAAGCCAAGAGGAACAGCAAAGAGCAACAGCTTGTAGGCCCTTGGGTTGGGCTATCCTCAGAAGGACATAAGTGCCCTGTGTCTGGGGTACCCAGTGTCCAGAAGTAGCCTGTGAAATGAGGCACAGCACCTGGCCAAGCTTATCCCATTTTTCCCTCCCGGCAGCCCTGAGATGTAAGTACATTTCTAGCTGCTCTATGGTGGGGATCAAGAGGGATGGAGGAAGAAATCCCTGCCGCCCCTGCCTACCGTGACCTTGGGAAAGGAACTTAACTTCTCTGGGTCTCAGTTCTTCGTATGGTAAATGGAGATCAGAACAGTTTCTCTGTCTCAGGCTTGTGAGGATGAAATGAATTTGTAGGTAGCAAATAGCAGCTATCATGACTGATCCCACTGATTAATGTTGGTGAGTGTAATTAAGTGACCAAACCACCCAGCCGAGAGGGGCCGAGTCAGACTGGAGTCAAACTAAGACTGCTTCCTTCCCCGGGGTACTATGTCCCCTGGGACCACACACGATGGCACCAAATCAAGACCGGGTGCAACCAGGAAAGGCTTCCTGCACAAGGTGGCATCTGGGCTGAGTTTGGTAGAAGGGCAGGGAGTTTGCCAGGGAAAGAGGTGGGGAGAGGGGATGGAACAGACCGTGTGAGGACTGGAGGCCTGAGTAAGTCTGGCATGTTGAGGGCACTGAGATAAGGCTGGGGGGTGGTGGGGAGAGTGGGGCCAGAGCACAGATGAAGACCACCTGGGGTGTTTGGACCAGATCTTGAAGGCCTTGCAGATTCTTTGTTTTCTGTTTAGCGCCAGTCGTATGCTTCTGTGAGGAGGTAGGAAAAAGTGAAAGAGGAACTTAAAAGTACAGGTCACCTGTACTTACAACTTACTTACTGTTTCTCTTGAAATGACTTGCTCTTTTTACATAAATTTGTTTTCAAAAGAAACTTTATATCGTAACCGTAAATGGTAAGCCCACGATAAGCCCCCGGTGCCAGATGTGTTCCAGAATTCACATTTTTTTTTTTTTCTGATTTCAAAAGGTGATACAGTGCATATATGCAACATCACTTAACATCCCCAGAGGGCCAAAGAATGAATGAATATTTCTGCAGAGAAATGTATGAATATTTACACCAAGCAGCATAAAGACTATTTATAGATTGCCTCAAATCAGCTTTGGCTCCAAACTTGCAAAAAAAACCTTTCATTTTCTTCAGAGCTTTTTGGAATTCAGAATGTGGGTGAGTAGTATCACTTGCTGGACATAAAAGGTAACAGAAAATATATTCATTGCAAACGAAGCAATGTGATTAGCGTCCAGCTCACCCTCCCTGCTGTGGCTGCAGAAGGGCTCTTGTTGAAAGGGAGAGTCACAGGGAGGTGTTGACAGCCTCCCCTGGCAACGTTAACCGTGGGAGAACTGGGAGCAGGGAGTCCAGGAGCTCCGTGTGATATTCTTGCAGCTTCTCTGGAAATCGAAAACGATTCTAAGTTAAAAGTTTATAAAATGAGCGAACAAACAAGGTGACTAACACCAAACCGGACTTTTTCCTTGACACTGAGAAATGAGGGTAAAAAGCAAACTCACTGTTCTCACGTAGGCACCCCATCTTCGAATGCCTCCCTGTCATCCTGCCTGAAGTCATCCCAGGGCCGCTCTGGGCCTTGGGAAATCTTGGCTGGGTCTGGGCTGGGTCAGGCCAAGGGCCTTGGGCTTTTTCTGTAGACGATGAGGTTTGATTAGAGGTGTGTAAGTGGGTTTGGGGGTGCCTTCATCCTGGTGTAGAGGTGAGCAGTTTGGCAGGAGTAGAAGAAGTCGGGCAGGGGGGAGGAAATGTTGGTGGTCATGAAGGGACAGATGTAGGACAGATATGGGAGGGTGGGAGGGCTCAAAGTCCCCACTGGAGATGCTGGGGCAGGGCCGGGGTATGTAGGAGGTGTGTTAGAGGTCTGGATGGGGCAGGATGCTGACTTTGAGGGGGCCTAAGTCACCTTACGGGAAATGTCCTTCATGGGGCCGGAAGCCAGAGCTCAGAGCCAGAGACACAGATCATAAAGGGGCTGGAAGATCTCTCCAGGAGAGAGAAAAGAACCCTCTGTTGCCCCAGCCCCTCAGGTCCCCACCCCCACCGGCTCGGTGATTTAAACTGTGGAGGAGAGGGAGGAGACCAGGCTTCCTACAAATCGGGAAACAGGCAGGGAGCCCCTCATTCTGGGTGGAAAAGGAAGCTTCGTTCCTGGTTGTTAACCGTGAGGCCAACGGCGGCGTTGAAATCTAATTCACAAAGGACGGAGACCCTCCCCTACAGGGCCTGATTCCCGATTCCCAGGGCTGCCTAAAGGGGAGCTGTTGTATCAAAGGCAAAGGAACCAGTACCAAAAAAGAAAAAAGAAAAAGAAAGATGCACATGGAGACGTCCCAGAGAAAGCAAAGAAACGGCGTGGGCTTCTCCAGAGTCTGCAGGCCTGTTTGCACGCAGACGACAATCATCCTGCCCACGTGCCTGATTTTGCCCCCCAAACCCTCTCCTGTCTACCAGCCTCTTGCCTGATTCAACACTGGAGACCAAGCCAGGGCTATTCTGGCACTTAACCCGGCTGCTGGAAGCAGGAGAGAAACTGGCTACCTGGGGCAGGTTGCCGACCCTGGATACTGGCCCGCAGAGGCCATTTTGGCCCTGGACTGCCGGTGGGCCCTGGCCGCCTGGTGCGGTCCCCTGCCCACCCCCCCCACCCCCCCCCCGCGGCTGGGAGGAGTGGCAGCCGGCTGCGGGCCTGCCCGGGGAAGCCGGTCAGCCTGACATCCCCAGCAGATGTCAGTCTGGGAACAGGAAGCAGCTTGTTTGGGGCTTCTAAAAATAAATAAATAAATAATAACTCTAACCACAAGAATCGTCTTTTATTCCAAAGTAAAAAAATGCTTTAATGACTAGAGCATTTAGCACATCGGGGGTTTTCATTGTTTTCAATTATGTGCAATTCTGAAAGGAGAGCACAAATTCGGAGCCTGAATGGAGAATTGTGGGGCTGCGGATTTGTGCTGTTTTAAACATTTGCTTTACTACTTTAAGAAGAGAACTGTAAAATGGAAATAATGATATATTATTACAAGTAAATTACACTGTGGAGTAGCATTAATATTGCAGTTGAAACCTAGAATTTGAAATAAAGATGGAAATATTCATTTGTACATAGTTTTTGTTCTTAGAAAAATGATTTGGAATTAGGCGAGAAGCTTCCTTCTGCGTCTGCGTACCCAGCCAGGCTCAGCGCTCCCGCCCAGCCGCCTCGGCCACCCCTTCAGCCCAGCAGCGGGGCCCTGGGGGGCCCGCTGGGGCAGGGACCCCGGAGTTCTCAGTGCCTGGTGTGCTGGCACAGGGTGGGGGGCCTCCGTGCCTCCCCAGCAAGGGGAAAAAAATTAATGCATTCCAGAAATACGTGATTTGGAAAGCAGAGATGGGGTGGTGGGTGGACCTCATAGTTTTATGTGCGTGGGGACAGAAACTGGATGAGGAGATGGTGACAGCAGGTGATAGATGAGCCTTACTTACTCTTTGGTAGTCCCTCTCTCCCTTCACAGAAGCAGGCCCTATTGCCAGACCTCGTCCCCCATCCGTGCCTCCCTCCTCCCCTTCAGGGAGGAGGGCAACAGGGGAAAGCTTAGGGTCTGTTACTTCCTTCTATTTGTTTATTAATTCGAGTGTTTTTTTATTAAATTTTTTTTTCCTTTTTATTGGAGAGCTCTCCTCCCTCCAGTGTTTTAAAACCAACCTCAGATAGCTGAGCCCTGGCATGTTTTCTGAACCAAACATCGCGGCCTACTGCGCCCCATTACTTCTGAGACCAGGGCCCACACTGCTCCCGTGGCCTCCCCAACCAGTGTCCTGACCTGGCCCTGTCCACTCTGCCAGACTCTCTTCCAGTCTTCTCTGCCTTTGTCCCTGGGGCCTCTCAGTGCGGCTCCCTCTCCTCCCTCATCCCCCACTCAGGCCACCAGGCCCACCTCCGGGGCAGCCCCTCCCCCTCCAGACGCCAGTGTTTCTGTCACAGCCTTAGCACTTTTAGAATTTACCAGTGTATTCCACCCCCCCCCCCCGTTTGATCACGAGTTCCCTGGAGTAACTGAATTCACATGTATACCCCTTGCCCTTGCAGGGAGTAACAATGCATGGTTGTTGAATGAATGATTTGGCAGTTTGGGAGGTGGGATTGGGAAGTATTATTTATTGAGCACATCACAAAAGATGGGAGGCACCCGGCTGGCTCAGTCAGAAGAGCATACGGCTCTTGATCTCGGGGCCCTGATCTCTCTTTTTACAAATGAGGTCAGAGGCATTTAGTAACTTGCCTCAAGACACACAGCCAGGAAGAGACAGAGCAAGGATTACATTTCAGGGTTGACTCCCCCCCCCCCCCCCACCATCATCTTTGGACCCTGCACGATGGAGTGAGGGCTGACTCACAGAATCCCCAGCATGTACACTGAGCACCACAAAGAGACCTTTATGGCCCTGATGGGTTCCTTGGAATCTCCAGGATGGCCTGGCAAATACCAAGGGTCCTGGTAACCAACCCGTGCCTCCCACCTTTGTAAACTTTTATGTGCAAGACTTCAAACCTGGAGGAAAGTTGAAAGAGTAGGAGAAGGAACATGAGTGTATCTTTCATATGGCAAATACTCATGTGCCCTTATACAGGTATTTCTGTTAGGGGGTTGGGGTTTTTCGGTTTTTGGCTTTTTTGCTAAACTGCTTACCTTGCAGATATTTATGGCACTTGACTTCTAAATATGTCAGCATGTTTCTGTTAGATTTGCCTCCATAACTACAGCACCAGGATCACACCTACGAATTTCACATATACTTGATCATTAAAGTATAGTCTTTATCCAAATCCCCTAATTAGTTCAGAAACAGCATTTTATAGCTGTTTTTGATTTCATCAGGATCTGTTGAAGGATCACAGATTTCATTGAGTTATCTTTTCTCCTTAGTCTCCTGTAACCTCAGTTTGACGTTTTCTTCTTTTTCATGATCCTGATATTTTTGAATTTAGACTAATTTTCTTAAAATTAAAAAAAAATTGGGGCGCCTGGGTGGCTCAGTCAGTTAAGCATCCGACTCAGGTCGCGATCTCATGGTTTGTGAGTTCAGGCCCCACATCGGACTCTGTGC